TACAAGTAAGGTGACAGTTATATAAAATCATACACAATAAAATCAGGACTATAATAACAAAAGGATAGAAGAATGATTTCATTATCTGGGATCCAGTAGGGGACCAACCAGTAAAGCATTGTACCAATGATGGGCTGAATCATTCTGAATTTGTGAACTCACCTTAAGGAGTTCTCCTTTTAGGATATGTGTGGCTACCTGTGTATGTTATCTTTGGGAAAAATATAGTCCCCTGTGTATGTGGGTGCCCACCAGGTTAAATTCTTGGCAAAAAGATCATAAACTGGTACTGGTAATGTGTTAAATTGACAAGCTAATTTAACATCCTTTGATGATGTATGATATAATGTAAAATAGCATGAGCATGAAAAATGTGAAACATTACCAGTTAACCATCCATTGCATTTACTGGATTGGGGTTTTAGAAGTAACCATTCATTATCTGTGAGGTTACGCTTTCCTCTAATCTTCTCTAGTTTAGGAATCATTAGTGTGTTTTCTAATGCCAATCCTTGTTGTTGTATCCATAAATACCTGATGGCACAAGTACTCCAGTTACTTAGACCTGTAGTGAATTTCATAGTTGCAACAGTTAAATTATCTAAATAATTATACATTGATTTATCTAAATCCAATCCTATAACCTGTGATTTAACAACAATTGGAGCCCAATTTGCAGTAGCATGAAAACCAGTCCCTATATGCATGCTGGCTGTGTTTAACTTATTCTTGAGGGTCTCCATATCTATAACTATTTAGTATACCCATAGTGGTTCCAGCACCTCCTAACAGTGTGTCATACCATTCCCTTTTCTGCCTTTGTTTGTTGTATTACATAATGTTACAACAAGAGTAGTGACTTTTAATGACACATGTACAGCTTGTAAGAAGGCAGTTGTATTAACACATGTGGACGGAATAGGTGTGTGTGTGTCGTGTTTGACTTTTGGTTCTATGGTAGAGGATAAAGGACAGTAAGGTGTAAAAATATAAGGTAGTGTATAGTTCTCAATTGCAGTGTCGTTCATAATGACTAACATTTGTCCCCTTCTCCAATTAATGATACCAGTTATATAATCATTATTAAAAGTAATAAGGCCTGTCTGTTTACATTGATATGCAACCTTAACTGTGCACATTTCTGCGTTATAAGATCTAACAATTTTCTGTGAACCTTTAAACAAACATAATGCATCGGTTTCATTAGCTGTAGACACATTTCATATGGGTAACTGGTACTTATAAGGGTTACTATTTGTCCAATTCATCCAAATGCGTTCAGTAAATGAATGATTGCATATTGCATGCTGATAGAAAGGTGGTGGAGAAAGGTTCTTGAGGGGGCGTGTGTGACGAATGCTAGATGAGGGGCTAAGGCCTAATTGGGCTGGGGGTATTGAAGAATTGTTCATCATGTCAGAGTCTTTTTCCAGAACTTGCCATTGACTTGTACTCATAATGGCATTCAAGGAACAATATCAGAGGGAGTATAACAACTCCAGAAAGCATAGCGCACAACATAATCTTGGTCTCAGGTACGTATGATCCTCTCAATCTACGATATGGTGTAAAAGCCATGATGCTTCGCTGAGGAGAAATTCTTCTGTTTCCGAGCGAGGAGTGGTGTTGTCTTCCTTGGTTCCCCTCTTTGGACACAGCTTCACTCGGGATGCGTGAATCCAGATGTCATGGGAATCTGTGAGGACAGCGGTTCTGGGTACAGCAATCACAGTAGCAGGTGGTCCAAAAGGGTATCCTCCTTTCTTGGTCCTGTTCAGCTGACGGATATACACCTTGTCACCGGGCTGGTATGAATGAGTAGGTTCCTGTGAAGGTAAGGGAAAACTGCGAAGAAACATTGTCATACATACCATTCGGTTTTATCAACAATTCACCTTGTGGGGATATATTCTTATCTCAGCTAAAATAGCTGGTAGATATCTTGTCCAATTTACCCATGTTCCTGGGTAAATTCTGGGCTTTTCCTTAATAGTCCTATTCATCCTTTCAACTACCCCTGTATTCTGTGGATGATAGGGTATATGAAACTGCCAGGTAACTTGCAAGAATTTAGCAAGTTCCTGGGCAACCCCACTTGCAAAAACCGGGCCATTATCAGAGCCAATCTGCAGAGGGCAGCAATACCGGGGAATAATTTCAGTAACAATAATCTTCACTAGAATCTTCCCTAGATATCACAAAGGCCTCATGCCATCTACTAAACTGATTAACTATGACCAGTAAGTATTGCTGTTTCTTACCAATTTTGGATACATGAATAAAATCAATCTGTAAGTGTGTAAAAAGAGCAGTGTTCACACGATCTTACAAAAGACTGTACATGCTGCCTGAGATTCCTAATATAAAATGAATTCATGAGGAATTGAATGGTGCTTGCTATGTGCCTGACTGATGAAAATAAATCAGCTTGCTTCAAGTATGCCTATTCTTCAAGTATGCCTATTCTCCCCTCTTTAGAGAACAGATCATTTTGATCTTTCTCTAAACCTTGTTTAATCCAAAAGACAGATTCTGGGTATTTAAAAAAAAAAGAATCTCATAACCACTGAAGCGCTGGGCTGTCATGTGTTGTGTGGTGAGATTTGTCAGCTGAGTGACCTGGTGACTGGCATGAAGTATTGTATGATGCCCTAGTGTGATAGTAGTAGCAGTTTCAACAGCCATTGCACATGCTATCAATGCTCTGAGACACGCCGGCATACCCTGTACCGGAGCTCGAACTACTTTGGAAAAGAATGCTATGGGACGCATACCGCCTCCTTGCTCTTGTGCACAGACTGCGGCCATGGTTTTACAATTGTCCCAAGCATACAAATGAAATGGTTTACAATACACAGGTAGTCCTAAAGCCTGGGCTTGCACAATAACAACTGTAAGGGCAATATATGCAGCTAGCATGTCTGGTGACCAGCAGACATTTTCAGGGCTGTCAGAACGTACAGCCTCCCTTAGGATTGAGTTATAATGGGAGCATTCAGGGATCCATTGGCGGCAGTAATTAATCATGCTGAGGAAGGTGAGCAACTCCTTCCGAGTAGTGGGTGTAGGAATCCTCTGAATGACCTCAATACATTTTGGACTCAATTGTCTGGTGCCTAAAGCCAGAACAAAACCTAAGTATTCAACCTTTGATTTACACAATTGCATTTTGTGTTTAACAACCTTGTGACCTACAGTTGCTGACAGTATCCACAGTGCTTGCCTCATAGCTAGGGCTACATAACAACAAATCATCAACATTTTGCAAAAAGGACGGAACCATGACCGGTGGTCCATGTTTTTTAGAGTATGTTGGAGTACCAACGAATAAACAGCTGGGGAATCCACATAGCCTTGGGTAAGCGTGTCCAGGTAAACTGACAGCCTTCAAAAGTAAAAACCATAAGTAGCTGTGTCTCTTGATCAATAGGTATAGAAAAAAAATGCATTACTTAAATCAATGACAGTGAAGCAAGTGGCATCATGTGGAATGGCTGTAATGAGGGATGTCACATCAGGGACAATGGGTGAAATGGGCACAATTAAACTATTCAGGGCTCTAAAGTCCTGAACTAAGCGATATGCTGGCCAGTGGTGTTGGGAGTGGATCTGGTGTTGTTCTTGCCTACCGGGCATATTTTGAGAATTGTGGGGTTGGTGGGGTGTGTGGGGTTTGATGGGGTTTCCTGGGGTGTGGACACTCATTCCTCCAGTGGCCATATTGTCCACAGTTGAAACAAGTGTTCCTGTCTATTCCTCCTTGGTTACCCCTGCCCCTATAACCCTGATTTCCTTGTCTCCATCCCCTTGCCCCTCTTTGACCACCCCTTCCACGGGCTTTATGTGCTCCATCCCATCCTTGCTCTCATCCTGTGTAGCTGGACATAATATGTTGCAATCCCTGAGCATAATAAGCAACCTTACTTTCCTAAATCTTTTCTTAATTCAAAACAACCTGCATTTTCCTTTTCTATAACCTTGGTAAGAAAATCTGAGCTATCCAAATTGTCCCAGTCTGAAATCAATTGTTTCACAAGCAAAGAATACTGTGGCAACATATTACCAAGGCATGACTGTATTTTAAAGAGATCTATATCATCTCCAGACATCAAACCTGCCTCATCCTTCCAACACTTGTAAAATTTATTTACAAAAATCATATTACCAATCTCTTCCTTTGTATCTTGCTTATATGCCAAAGCAGTGAATATAGACTGCTTATTCTTCCATAATCCCAACATTTCAGCTTCCACCTTGTTCCAAATTTTAGCACATCTTACTGAAGTACTAAACTCATAATCACCAATTCATTTCAAACCATATAACTCATACTCAGCATCCCATGTAATATTACACGTCATCTCACAAAACAATATTTTTGTAAAAAAAACACATAATGGGTACCCAGCAGATATGCCAATACAGAAATCACATTTATGGGCACACAACTACACACTCTGTCTCCCTCCTAGGAAACACGGATAGACACAATATAAAAGCAATCTTAAACTAACACCTCCAAATCTCCAACTATTCTTGGCCAAAACGCTAGTATTCAACAACTAATAAAACAGTTATTTGCTAGGTTATTTGGCTGTCATTCTTATCAGTATCACTAGACTGTGACAAACTGATTCACATATAATTTAAAACAACACAGCAACATATAAATTAAACCACTTTCCAGTTAAGCTGCACACTTATCACACATTATCACAATCACCATTTACACAGAATAAACAGTTAACAGCTGTATTCAGAACATATTATTGGAAGGTATACCAATTTTAGTTTAGATTTATTTTAGGGATTCTTATGTATACATTTTCTCAATTAACTTCATTACTTTAATCTACTATAGTATTGTATTTAAAGAAAGGATCCATTTATATAGCGCGCTCATAACTCAACTATTTGTCTAAAACTACCATTAACTAATCTGAGATGATGCTGCATCAACTTAAATCTTACAGAAATTGAACAAACATCTGGACCAGATTAAACAGACATGGTTTCACCTGAATCTTTCAGAACTCTCAGAGACTTAAAAAAATTTATACTATACCATGTTTTAAAGGCATGGCAAACCTTTAGACCGGTCAGTCTCCAAGAGCCCTTAGTAACACAGGTAAAAAACCTTTGTCCATGATTTCTGATCCAGGCTATATACCACAATTTAAAAGAACACATAATGTGAGACATAGAAGACACAAGCAGTAGTTATTACACTGGATCATTTAAAAGGAACCTGTTGCAATAAAAAGGTTAGTTTACAGCGCAAAATAAAGCATGTGTTGGACCGCTGAAAATGTAAATGTTGCTCTGTTATTTTCAAAATCATATTTAGTATGGATCCTTTGCAACAAACACACAGGGCAGGGAAGATGTGCTGATTGGTGTTTCTATACAATTAATCCCAGATGGGGAATTAACTTTAAAATACTAATGAAGTGACTTTTTGTCTCAGTTATAAAATATACTGAGCTCATCATGCAAACAATGCAACACATTTACACTTATCCCACTCTCATAATAAGTGTAGTGGGCTTATAGTATTTTTAAAGCAACAATCATTCCAGGCACACAGTTCCCATGTGAAATAACTTACAATAAAACAGAGTAATAAACTTATACTTCTATGCAACAGAAAGAATAAAGTAAAAAGATTTAAGTAGGTCTATCAGGTACAACCTGTGAGTCATTTCTTTTCTAATATACAGTACTGCTATCTTGCAGAAAGATAAGTCCTGCGCTCACTCCCATCACTACTGGACAGCAGCAAGGACTACAGTACACATCAGCCCCAATATATGGTAAAAACCAAAGAAAAACAAGTTACCTGCGTTCTCTCCTTAATCCCTATGTATTTTTAAAACCTCCATTTGTTTAAAAGTACTGCTATCTTATATATACACATATACATATACACACACACACATATACATATACACACACATATATACATACATATACACATATATACACACACATATATACATGTACACACACATATATACACACACATATATACATGTACATATATTGGTCACTCAGGACATGAACTCACATTTCCCATACTGCTGACTCAGAGTGGGGACACTACTAACTTACCAAAGTGTGTCCCCAATATAGACAAACAATCACCCACAAAAAACACTTAAGACAAACAAAGGTGACCGGGAGAAAGAGAAGTTTGGGTTATACTTATAGATCTACAAACCGTGCTGCTCAGAACACCTATAGACTTAATAAACCGGAGACCTCTTATGGTCTCAAAACCTGTATCTACCTGAGATACCCTGTATCTATCTTAGATACTAACCTGGGTTACCAAAACCCTATAATAAACCGGAGACCTCTCATGGTCTCAAAAACCTGTATCTATCTTAGATACTAACCTGGGTTACCAAAACCCTATATATTTAGACCAAATGTCTAATAAACCGGAGACCTCTTATAGTCTCAATATAACTAGAGTCCTTACACCTTTCCTATCTACTGGATACAGTCTTACTGAACCAAAGGGGGTCATAGACAATCAGCGTCAAATAAGACACAAAAAGGCTACTCACCGCAATGGTTTTGCTGATCCAACTTCTATCCCACTTCTAGACACCAAGCTGAAAGGGTTAATGTTGTAATGGACTCTAATCCCCTCGGTTCTCGATCCCTCGGTCACCATAACCATGTTGATGGAGAATCATTGTAAGCAATAACACACGGACAACAGCTTTACAAGACTCTCAAATGAGTGTATTCCAGAGCTGGCTTTTATACATAGTTTGCTTACATTAGCCATGGTATATGCAAATACAGTACAGACTATAAGATTTATTACTTCCTTATATTACGTTATTCTGACAATGGAAAGATAAGCTTTTGCATACGTCTGGAAAAGAATATCCTGAAATTGGAATGGGCAAGACATCCTGAAATTTTAGCATTGTCTTACATCCTATAGAAGAAATACCTTAGTCTGTCACAGTCAGCATATTGACTTTAAGTATTCAATATCCCTTCAGTCAGCAATAATCATGTTATAAACCTTATAAAAGCATAAAATACATATAAACAAGTTAACTATTTAATATTCTTACACAGGTTTTTTGCCTTCTTTTGGATCAACAGCAACAACATTTGTGAGGAAGGCTGAACTTGATGGACACAAGTCTCTTTTCAGCTATGTAACTATGTAACTATGATTGGCTTAAACCAGCCAATCAGCGTGTTCTTAGCCTAATTGCAGGGCGTGGCAAGGCTTTATCAGCCTTCCCCCGCCCTGCAGAGCTCAGTCTGCGCGGAGCCCTCCATGGGTGAAGATGGATTATTTTTTTGTGCACTCGGTTTTTTTGTTTTTTTTAATTGCGTCGGTTCTTATGGCTTCTTATTTGGCCTTTTTTGGGGATGAAAAAAGAAGATTGTAGAAGAAAGAAAACATCAAATGGTAAGTTATTTTTATCTAATTTTTTTTTTACAGGTTTTTAGTTAAAGGTCCCCCCCTCATTATTTTTAGGGTGAGGGGGGTAGGTAGGGAGATAATTTTTTTGGGGAGGGGGAGGGGTGACTAGGGTCCCCCCCCTTTGTATTTGGGCCCCCACCCACCGCTCAGGGGTGGGGGCCGGGGGGGACAATAGGTCCCCCCTTATTGTTAATTTTAGGGCCCCCACCCACCGCTCAGGGGTGGGGGCTGGGGGGGGACAGTAGGTCCCCCCCCTTATTGTTATTTTTAGGGCCCCCACCCACTGCTCAGGGGTGGGGGCCGGGGGGAGGACAATAGGTCCCCCACTATTAGTATTTAGGGCCCTTAGTATTTAGGGGGACCCTTTTTTTTAACATTGAGCAGCCACAGGCTGCTCACTGTTTAATAGACATGCCCCTACTCGCGGTATTGCGAGTAGGGGCACAATTTACTAATACTAAGTAATTTTTACTTAGTATTAGTAAATTAATAGGGGGCGGATCGAACCGTGCATATGTTCGCCATCCGTGCTATGTTCGCCTGGAACTATTCGCCAGCGAACCGTTCGGGACATCACTACTTGTAAATGGGCACAACATTCGCTAACTTCCAATCTTCTGGGACTACTCCTGTTAACAATGATTGGTTAAATAAATCTGTGGTTTTGCTAGTACACCACTAAGCTCTTTTAATAGCTTTGGGTGTATTCCATCAGGTCCCATTGACTTATTTGTCTTTACTTTTGACAGTTGAAATAGAACCTCTTCCTCTGTAAACTCACGTGTAATAAATGAGTCATTTATCCTTATTCTCATCTGAGGTCACTTTCCTTTATTTTCATCTGTAAATACAGAACAAAAATATTCATTGAGGCAGGCAGCTAGACCTTTATCCTCTTCTACATACCTTCCTTCTTTTGTTTTTAATCTAACTAATCCTTGTTTTACTTTTCTTTTCTCATTTATGTATCTAAAAAATGTTTTATCCCCTTTTTTACTGACTGTGCTATTTTCTCTTCTGTGTGTGATTTGGAAGCTCTTATAACTTGCTTAGCCTCTTTCTGCCTAATCTTATAGATCATTTGTCTTCCTCACTCTGGGTTTTTTTTATAATTCCTAAATGCTTTTTGTTTTTAACTATTTTGGCCACATCTGCAGAGTACCACAGTGGTTTCTTGAATTCTTTGCTTTTACTGACAAGCCTAATGCAATTTTCTGTTGCCTTCAATAGTGCAACTTTTAAATAATCCCATTTCTCTTGGACTCCATTTAAATTGCTCCAGTCTGATAATGACTCCTCTACCCATATTCTAATTTTAGAAAAGTCTGTTTTCTAAAGTCTAAAACTTTTGTTTTTGTGTGGTGTGACTCAGTCACTGTTCTTATATTAAACCACACTGACTGATGATCACTGGATCCTAAACTTTCACCTACGGTAATATCTGATACCAAATCTCCATTTGTTAACACTAAATCTAGTATGGCCTCTTTACAAAGGTTTGAAATATAACTTGTTTAGAGACTAATCCAGTAGGGAAGTTTAAATTATGTGTGCTCATAGCTGTAGTAGGCTAATTTTGTTTTCCAATTTACATTGGGAAGATTAAAGTCACCCATGATGTGCTTCTATACATTCATGTTTGGCTATTTCCTCAGTAGATTATCTAACTCTTCAATTTGTCCTGGGGGCCTATAAATCACACCTACACGAGTTACTGTGTGATTACCAAATTCTAACGTAACCCAAATGGACTCTATGTTCACCTCACTAACTTTTATGATGCTAGATTTTATGCTATCCTTCACATACAGGGCCACCCCTCCCCCTTTCTTGCCTTTCCTGTCTTTTCTATATAAAAAGTACCCTGGTATTGCTATGTCCCAGTCATTTTTCTCATTATACCATGTCTCAGTAACAGCGACTAAATCTACATTATTAGTTGCCATTATTGCCACAAGTTCATGGATCTTATTCCCTAAACTGCGAGCATTTGTAGACATGACTCTAAGCTTATTTTTTAACACACTTGCTACAGGCACCTTCTGTCCTTGTTTTGGGGGACAATTGGATTGATGTTTTATAACCCTTTTGCCCTCCCCCCTAGTTTAAATACATCCTAGCAAAACCTCTGAACTGCTCACTGAGAACATTTGTTCCCTTTTGAGAAAGATGCAAACCATCTTTTTTGTACAGCTTATCTCCATTCCAAACAGAGCTACCATGAGAAATAAAGCCAAATCCTTGCTCCCAACACCATTCAACAAGCCACAAATTAAAGTCCCTAATACGCATCCGCCTGTCAGGCAGAACTTCAGAGAATGACAGTGTGGAAGCAACCTGCCGTATATCATTGGCAAAAACACTAAAAACTTCCTTAACCTCATGTACATCTGTACCCGGCCGAAATTTCTTTGCACAAAAGGCAATCCCCAACCTGTACTCGATAGTGCAAAAGGAAGTAATGGCATGTCTGGCACACAGTGTTGGGGCAAGGGTCCATCTGACCACTGATACCTGGTCTGCAAAGCATGGTCAGGTAAACCTGCTGACTGCTGCCAAGCATGGAATGCGTGGCTCTGCAGAGGAGTTGGTGACACCGCCACGACTTGCAGGCAGGCCTGTTGCCACCTCCTCTACTCCTCCTACTCCATCCTCTTCCATAACCTCCTCGGCTGAGTCCTCTTCTGCTGCTGCGTCTTGCTCCACATCAACGGCACCCCCCCAGCTCCCAAGGTACTATTCCACATCCCGGATACGGCAGTGTCACGCCGTCTTGGGGTTGACTTGCCTGAAAGCAGAGAGTCACACCGGACCAGCACTCCTGTCCGCCCTGAACGCACAGGTGGATCAGTGGCTGACTCCGCACCAACTGGAGATCGGCAAAGTGGTTTGTGACAACGGAAGAAATTTGTTGGCGGCATTGCATTTGGGCAAGTTGACACATGTGCCGTGTATGGCACATGTGTGTAATCTGATCGTACAACGCTTTGTGCATAAGTACCCAGGCTTACAGGACGTCCTGAAGCAGGCCAGGAAGGTGTGTGGCCATTTCAGGCGTTCCTACACGGCCATGGCGCACTTTTCAG